GCACACACTGCAGGCAAGTGCATGGAAAGTGGGAAGCTATGTGGAATGCTACTAAGTATAAAACCATGTAAGTCAAAGACAGGCTCAGTCCCAGCCTGGTAGCATGCTCTCACAATAAGAACAATTAGAGTAAAGTAACATACAAGATTTACTTTTGGGGTGGATTTACTGAGTAGATGATGATTAGAGTTCCATGCCCTGTTTATTTCCCACACTACCACACTGTGCCGTCATTGTAGCCAATAGGTGTATATAAGCGAAGCTTCAAAGAACATAGATGGAAAGGAACACATCTAACTAGTAGTACAAAACAATAGCAGACAGAATGGCTTGGAATTAGACTGGACGACCATCAATGAACACCAAAGAAATGTGTGTACTCAGGAAGTTATGGAAAGCTCTGAAGATTTTTGATAGAGACGCTGACATTATAATCTTGCTGGAGAGCAGAGGTGACACTGAGCTTTGAGAGGGGTCTGCAGATCCAGCCACAGACCCACCTCGAGCTCCAGGGAAGATCTTAACTAGAGACAAGCTGAGTCCCAGAGATAGGTCTTTAAATCTTCAGCACCACAGGCAATGTTGTCCCTCAGGGAACACTGAAGTAAGAGCACTATATTGAGAAGGTGCAGACTTGCACAGAAGGTAATTTTTTTATCACATTTATCCCCAATTTCTCACCCTAACTCCTTGCAGATCCACCCTGCTGCTCCTTACCCTCTCACATTCATCTCATCCTTCTCTTTCTTCTATCCCTGCAGTTATAATTGGAAATGCGGGCTGTTTGGAAGAGGAAGTTTCAGTGTTAGGTGAAATGATCAGAGGAACACAGTGAGCTTGCCTTGTCTTTCTTCTCTTTTTGGGGACTAAGGTGGCAGTGGATACAAGAAGAGCATCCTAGTGGACATGCATTCTGGCAGCAGGCAAGCCGTGAGGCAGCCTTAAGAGGACTGAAGACAGCAACTCTCTTCTCTGGAGAGACGAAGAGCCATCAACAGTGTCAGCCACTTGGAAGGTTGGCCTAGTGCCACTCTAAAGACTTATCGCACACAGCAAGTTCCCTAGCCCGGAAAGAGGGTCAGGAAGGCATTTACTAAAAGGGCAAGTGGAGCCCTTCTGATTTCAACATTCCCTGGGGCATGGCTGTTTTGAGGCAGTCAAATGTCACAGTACTCAACACAGTGCAGCGTGGAGCCAAGTGCAGTCTGGGAGAATGTTTTCATTTGCAGGACTGTGAGAACAGGCTTCAGGACAAACCAGAGGGAATTAGCAAATTTCTGACTTCCTGAAAATCTCCTGTATAGCTCATTTCACTGACAATTCCCCAAGCCCTTAAAGTTTTGGGGCTTGGCTAGTCTTAGGAGAAAGAGTAGAAGCCGTGGGGTAGCCAGGGTGACTTCCAGTTGTACCTGGGCACTGCTCTCAGAGTTTTTGTACTTCCTTAACCTTCCCTTTTTATACCTGAGCTTCAGGAGTTGTCTCTAACATTTTCTCATGGTTTTCAATATCTGTCTCATTCAACCCCAAAGCAAGAACCCTGTCTTGCTATGGATTATTTGTGTGGGTACTTGGCACCAGATACGATACCACCATACACAATTAGGATCAACAGCTTTCATGGCACCATACACTATACCACCATATACAATGAGGATCAACAGCTTTCATGGCACCATACACTATACCACCATATACAATGAGGATCAGCAGCTTTCATGGCACCATACACTATACCACCATACACAATGAGGATCAGCAGCTTTCATGGCACCATACACTATACCACCATACACAATGAGGATCAACAGCTTTCATGGCACCATACACTATACCACCATACACAATTAGGATCAACAGCTTTCATTTGATGCCACAGTCCAACCTTCCATTGTGCAGGGTCCTCATATCGCTAGTGACCAACTGGCCCTTTTGTGTGGCCATCTTATTATTCGTGCTGAAACAGCCTCGTATTTGCATACTGTATATCTAGTTTTTCATTTCAAGTCTTATAACCAAGAATATGCCTACATACCCAGTTTTACCTTGCTTGATATTTTTCTATTCTTTTGTGGTTTCCCTTTGGCCACTGCCACTGGGATTCCCTGATTGACAGAGAGAAAGGGATGACATGTGTCTCATTTATTTTCTAGAGAAACACAGAGGGATATCAAACTCAGAAAATGGCATTGTCCCTAAATATAAGTGCAGAAATGCCTACATAAATACAAAGGGTTTAGTGAAAAAAGTGTTAGCAGATTAATAAAATATATATTGGTGCCTCTCTATATTGTGGGCTAGGCAGATGGCACAGGAGGTAATGACATCCACTGCTGGGTCTGATGACGGAGTGTGATCCCTAGGACCCGCATCATGTAATGAGAAAACTGACATCTGCAAGTTGTCTTCTGACATCATACTAGGCTACACATGCCCATCCACGTGCACTCAAAGTAAATAAAGTTAATACAAATTTCAGTGAACCACTGAGTACAGACACTGGTTAAATACAGTATGAATTCTCAAGGCTAAAGCTTCTGGGTTCCGTGGAACTAAGGTCATAGTAAGTGCATCTGAGCACCTAGACAGTGTGCTGTGTGATTATTTATTAATTTTTTAAAAGTTGAGGGTTGTCCCCTCTCTGCTCAGTCCTCAGTGAAAACCCAGAGGTTTAGATGGGGAACAAATGGTTCACAGAACCCTACAACTTGGTGACTGAAGTGAATCACAACATTAAAACACATAGAAGATATAAACAAATCATATTCTGTAGTTTGCTTGACAATTTCTTTCTAATAACTTAATAAGGCCACAGACCTGTTGGGGTTGAATTACACTGACAGTATGCCCTTCTGTACACCAGTGAGTTAAATGCTATGGTTTCAAATCAGGTAAGAATAGTTTTCTGGGGACAAGGGAGATGGCTTCATGAATAAAGTACATGCGATGCAGGCATGAGGGCCTGAGCTTAAATCCCTGCATCTCCCTTAAAAGGCAGGCATGGTATCATCGACCTGTAACCCCAGCACATGATGATGAGTGCTTGGGGGAGGTGTCTCACTGGGTAGACAGCTAGAAAATCAGTGATGTCTAGCAAGAAACTGTGTCTCAAAAACATAAGATATTGAGGTCTCTGATCTTGAATTTGGACTTGAGTTTTGTGCATGGTGATAGATATGGGTCTATTTTCATTCTACTACATGTTGATATCCAGTTACACTAGCACCATTTGTTGAATATGCTTTCTTTTTCCATTTTATATTTTTTGCTTCCTTGTCAAAAATTGGGTGTTCATAGGTGTGTGGATTGATATTTGGGTCTTCAGTTTGGTTCCATTGGTCCTCCTGTCTGTCTTTATGCCAATACCAGGCTGTTTTCAGTATTGTAGCTCTGTAGTAGAGTTTGAAGTCAGGGATTGTGATGCCTCCAGAAGTTCCTTTACTGTACAGGATTGTTTTAGCTATCCTGGGTTTTTTTTGCCCTTCCATATGAAGTTGAGTACTATTCTTTCGAGGTCTGTGAAGAATTTTGCTGGAATTTTGATGGTCATTGCATTGAATCTATAGATTTCTTTTGGTAATATTGCCATTTTTACTGTTAATTCTACCTACCCAAGAGCATGGGAGATCTTTCCATTTTCTGGTGTCCTCTTCAATTTATTTCTTCAAAGACCTCAACATAAAGCCAACCACACTGAACCTCATAGAAGAGAAAAAGGGGAGTACACTTGAATGCATTGGCACAGGAGAGACTTCCTAAATATAACCTTAGTAGCACAGACACTGAGAGAAACAATTAATATATTGGACCTCCTGAAACTGAGAAACTTCTATAAAGCAAAAAACATGGTCAACAAGACAAAACAGCAGCCTACAGAATGGGAAAAGATCTTCACCAACCCCACATCAGACAGAAGGCTGATTTCCAAAATATACAAAGAGCTCAAGAAACTGTTCATCAAAAGAACAAATTCACTTAAAAACTGTGGTACAGACCTACACAGAGAGCTCTAAAATGGCTGAAAGACATTAAGGAAATGATCAACATCCTTGTTATAAGAGATCTGCAAATCAAAATAACTGACATTCCATGTTACACTGGAAAGAATAGCCAAGAACAAAAACACTGCTGGAAAGGATGTGAGTTGGGACTCCAAACTGGTACAGCCCCTTTGGATATCAGTATGGTGATTTCTCGGAAAATTAGAAATCAACTTTCCTCAAGACCCAGCAATACCATTTTTGGGTATATATCCAAAGGATGCTCAATGGTACCACAAGGGCATATGCTCAAGTATGTTTATAGCAGCATTGTTTGTCATAGCCAGAACCTCAAAATAACTTAAATGCCCCTTGAATGAAGGATGGATAAGGAAAATGTGGTACATTTACAGAATGGAATACTACATAGCAGAAAAAATAATGACATCTTGAGATTTGCAGGCAAGTGGATGGATCTAGAAAACATCATATTGAGTGAGGTAACTCAGACCCAGAAATACAAACATCATATGTTTTCATAAGTGGCTTTCAGACATTTAGCAAAGAAAACCAGTCTACAGTTCACAATCCCAGAGAACCTAGACAACAATGAGGACCATAAGAAAGACATACATAAATCTAATCTACATGGAAAGTAGAAAAAGACAAGATCTCCGAAGTAAATTGGGAGCATGGGGACTTCAGGAGGGGGTAAAAGGGGAAGGAAGAGAAAGGGAAGGGAGCAGAGAAAAATGTATAGCTCAATAAAATCAATTAAAAATGTTTTTTTTTTTTAAAAAAATGTAAGATGAAGTGCTGGTGAGATAGCTCAGCAGGTGATGGCACTCATTTCTAAGCCTGATGTCCTCAGTTCAGTCCCCAAAACCTACATAGTAGAAAGAGCAAACCAACTCCTGAAAGTTGTCCTCTGACATCCACACACGCCTCCGGGAACCTAGGACCATCCTAGAAATATGTAATAAAGAATGAATCGGCGCTCCGCAGCCCTCCGCCGGTCGCAGTAGCCGTTCGGGTCGTCTGGTGCGTGTGTCCTCGGATCTGATTTAAACCACCACCATGTCGAGCAAAAAGGCGAAGACCAAGACCACCAAGAAGCGCCCTCAGCGCGCAACATCCAATGTGTTCGCCATGTTTGACCAGTACCAGATCCAAGAGTTCAAAGAGGCCTTCAACATGATCGACCAGAACTGGGATGGCCTCATCGACAAGGAGGACTTGCATGATATGCTGGCTTCTCTAGGCAAAAATCCCACCGACGCCTACCTGGATGCCATGATGAATGAGGCCCTGGGCCCCATCAATTTCACCATGTTCCTCACCATGTTTGGAGAGAAGTTGAATGGCACAGATCCTGAAGATTTCATCAGAAACGCCTTTGCCTGCTTTGATGAGGAAGCAACAGGCACCATCCAGGAGGATTACCTGAGGGAGCTGCTGACAACCATGGGCGATCACTTCACAGATGAGGAAGTGAATGAGCTCTACAGGGAGGCCCCCATTGACAAGAAGGGCAATTTCAACTACATGGAGTTCATGGGCATCCTCAAGCATGGAGCAAAAGACAAAGATGACTGAAGAACTCCAGTGGTAGCTCCTGTCATGTGACCCTACTTACTTCCTTCTCAGCTCCTTCCACCACCTGTAGGACCTTCTGCATGACACTTAGTTCACAGCTTTGCCTCTTTTGTAATGTATTTATTTCAGACTTTTCTGTCATTTAGCACTTGTATAATCAGACTGGAAATGGGGACAATGCTGTAAATTGTGTTGAAAATACCATGCGAATAAAAATCAACAATGTGAAAGCCCCCCCCCCCAAAAGAAATGAATCTTATGAATGACTTCACTGTGATGTCATCACTCATTTAGAGGAAAATGTGCAAATAATAAGAAATTCAGCAATTCCAATGCAACAATATTAAGTTTACTCCAAGTATAGTTAATATTCAATGATAGAATAGAATATGATTTTCCTTACTTAATAAAAATTAACATAAAATACATTTTCCATTTGAGTCTATCCTATATTTTTTCCTTGTATGAAATGGCTCTGTTCTCTCAAAAGGGATTTTCTAGTCCATGTTGTGAGGTTTTGCCATATACACTGCAGACAAGTGTGTGGATAGTCTTTCTTCTAGCTAGACAGATTACTAATGGATCATTATCTAATTTGGAGTAGCCAACCAGTCTTTCTGGGGCTTTAACTGGAGCCAGGAATGACTACTACCTGAGATATCACCCTAGGTGGACCACTTGTTCCTACTCTCAATGCCTTAACTTGAAAGAAGCCCATTTCAGGATGAAAATTTACAAGCATAGTAGAAGAGAGGAAAGAAGAAAGGAAATGGAAGAAAAGGGAAAATTGAAATCAATATTTTTGTGTAATTTGAGCTTTCAGGTTATTTTGTGTCTTTGATCAGTTACTCCTACTTCAAACTCTACTTTTGATATACCTGAACCAACAAATTTTATCTTTACTTAAGCTAATTTGCAGTAGGTCTCTGTCTCTGAGATTCATTCTGTTGCATAAAAGTCTAAGGAAAGAGAAAGGGTCATGCATTAAATACAGACTTTAAGACTGCAGAGATGGCTCAATGGTTAAGAGCACTTGTAGTTCTTAAAGGGGTCCTGAGTTCAATTTCCAGCATTCATACGGTGGTTCTTATTCATTAACGCCAGTTCCAGGGAATCTGATGGCTTCTTCTGGCTCCAATGAACACTAGACACATGGTGCATAGAAATACATGCAAGCAAAGCACTCACATATATAAAGTAAAATTAAAATTTTGAAAAGAAAGAAATGTAGAATCTGGTAGACTTAGCCCCTCCCCCTGCCCCCACCAAATTGTGTCTTGTTCTTTCTTCTATATACATTATCTGCTCTAGACAGTCAGCCAGTAAGAATTTTTTTTAATGGAGTAAAGGGTTATACATAGATATTAAATGTTTCTAATTTTTATTAATACTTTTGAGTTACTGAGAATTTAACAAAGATGTTCTACAGTAAGTCTACATTTTTATTATATGGACCATTGTGCATCAGAGTACTAATATGTTTTATTAGTAAATCAAAATATTCTGTTGTATGCCCTCCTTTTCTTCCTATAGAATTGTTGGAATTCAACTCAATTAATTACATTTTCCCACCTCTATTCTAAATATTTACTACCAGTCATTTTCCAGAATTTATTTTTAAACAAATACTTTTTCTATGCAAATTATTTTATCCACATAAAATAAGCAAGATTTACTTATACATTGTTTACATTTGTGGAATGCAATATATAGGCAGAATGCTGAGCAAATAAAAATAATGAATTACGAACAATTCTCAGTTGACAACAGAATAATTAGAAAGAAGTTACTATAATATATATAACTTTCTCAAGAAAAAAATTGAAATAAGTAAAACATGCCACAAATATAAGTTGGCTAGTCCTCTTTTTCTTCTGGGTTTTATCTTCAGATGTGTAATCATTTGTGAAAATATTGGCATTCAAGGAAAAAGCATCCTTTTATTTAGAATTAATAATTACTACTATAATTAATTTCTATTCCTAGGGGTGTTTCATGTTTTCTGTGCATCATAGCTTGAAGTCCCCCAGAGGCCCAGGCATTGGAAGTCTGAGAGCCTGAGACCTATTGGGAAGTGGTAGACTCTTTAAGAATTATGGCCAGTAGAAATATGTTAGGGAATTGGGGGCATCCTAGTGCAGGAAACGCTGCTTTGCTTTACCTTCTCTCTGGTTTGGTTTTTGTCATAAGGTAAGCACTCCTTTGCCACAGGCTGCTACTGATACTTGTGACTTCAGAGAGAAATTAAGCCACCTCACAATGAGTTTAAGCTTCATATATCATGAACACAAACAAACCCTTCCTGCTTTGTACGTTGTCTATCTTAGGCTTTGCCACAATGCCAGTGATGTAAAACATTATATTTTAACCAATTTGTTTAATCCAACATCCGGTAAAATAGATGGAAGAGATCAGAGTCTGCAGAAGATAAGAGATTACTTATCCCATGGTGTTCTTTCTGTCCAGACACATGAAGTACAAGCATGTAAAAGATGAAATATCTTTATAAAAGAGACAATTGAGGTGCTTTTCAGTGAAATACAGTTTTTTTTTTTTTAAGGAAAATTAATCCACGAGTTGACTTGTATCATTATTTAGAAACATTTTCAAGGTAGGGGAGAGGAAGGGAGGAAGAGACAGAGAATGAGAGAGACAGAAAAAGGGGAGGCTGTCCCAGGATTCTGTGCATTCAGCCGCAATGACAATCAACCCATCAGAAGAATGGGGTGTCACAAGCCGGTCTGTCCTACCAGGCCAGAGGAGAATCTCAACTACCCTGGTGGGAAAACAGAGCTTTTCCTATTGATTTTCTCCCCCAAATCATGGTAGAGCTGGCAGGAGCAGAGAGAGTATGTTATGCTAACTTGTCACACTGAACTCAAAGAAAATGTGTGAGAAGGAATAGAGAACAGACCCTCAAATGGAAAACAGCAGGTGAGGTTGAACAGGCTTTGTTAAAATGTGCCATTTGGAGACAGACTTTTTAAAAACCAATAACCTACTCAGACTCAACATGTGAAACTCCGTAAACACTATTTTTGTGCTAGGCATAGAATTGGACTTAATGTCTGTGTACTGTTGACTGAATGACAAGGTAAATGGGAAAATAGAAAAATGTACCCTATTTTCTGTGATTTTTCTTCCCATTGTTTTTGAAATGGCATTTCTTTAATGATGATTAATTTGAGGCCATTGTCGAAATGGCCCAAACAATCTGTTGGTGATTTGATCTGCAGAAGGCCTGGATGTCATGGAAAGTCACTGAGACTCCAGGAAACTTACCTTTTGTGACATTTCACGCTTTGAAGGTTTGATTGCTGCAATAAACCAGGGGCTGTGCGTTATTATAATTATTTTTCTCTTGTAAGTGCAGGTACTCAAAATTAGCAAATGATGTTTTGACAAATGATAATAAGGTCTCCACTAGAAAAAGAATGTGTAGCATTTGCTTTCAAATTATTTTTTATTTTCTTTTTTCTTCATGTTTATGAGGAGAAACAAAGATTCTCATTGTTTTCAAAATTAAGATGCAGTTATTCACAAGGGGAAAATAACACTTAATCTTTCCCAAACTTTTTAAATGATTATTCACAAAAGTGAAATTTTGTTAGCAAAAGTTTAATTAGTATGTGTTATAAAAATTATTTTCAATATGATTCTGTGAATATACTTCATCATAATCTTGTTAATTGGCAAATCACATAATATGATCAAATAATTTTAACAGAACAAAGTCATATAAGTATTCTAACTTGTTTTTCAAGTGTTCTCCCAAAGGTTATATTTAAAGGATTCTTCTTTCTTCTGGACAACAGATACTATGTTCATTGTGAGTAGAAAGAAGGTCTTAGAATTATCTTTTTTTTTTTTTTTTTTTTTTTTTTTTGAGACAGGGTTTCTCTGTGGCTTTGGAGCCTGTCCTGGAACTCGCTCTGTAGACCAGGCTGGTCTCGAACTCACAGAGATCCGCCTGCCTCTGCCTCCCGAGTGCTGGGATTAAAGGCGTGCGCCACCATCGCCCGGCCCTTAGAATTATCTTAAACCTGAACACCAAGACAATGTCTGGAATGATAATGTACATATTAGTGTTGACTTGAGACTTACCCTAAAAGAAATTTGTAAAGAAATAAAACAAATACAGTGAAATCCAAACCGGCCTTAGCACAGATTCAAACACAGTTTGGGAGGAGGTCTGGTGATTAATCACAGCCTACCCTCTACTTAGGTAAAATGAATCAGGTGACTGTGGTGACTTTGACCTGGAAAAAAGGCATGGTGTGTCAGAATATGACAATCTCTAGATGGGGCATTATTATTGCCATCTTAAGTATCATATCCAGGAATGGAATACTAGGCTAGCTGGGCTTGCCTTTCATCAGCTTCCATCCACAGACACAAAGGCTTCTCTCCGGTGGCCTGGGTTAGAAAAGGGTTTTAAGTTTAGCTGTAGGAAACCAGCAAGAATCAATCCTGCAGGCAGTATGTTTATGTAGAAATGACTGGCCCAGAACAAGCAAAAAGGACGAAGGGAAGATCCATTTTCTAGAGCTTGAAACATTAAAAGTAGCTAGTTGGCAAAAAAAAAAAAAAAAAAAAAACCAACAACAAAAAAAAACTATCATTAAGCCTATGGGCAGAAGGAAGCATGGCAGTATTAGAGCTGAGACTTAGGGGCAAGGTCGCCCATGCTCCCTGTGCAACCTACCTGTAACCGGGGCGGGCTCCAGCCTTGGATTAAGTGAGTAGGAAATGTAGGACATATACCACCTCAGTTCCATAGGAGACAAAGGAAGGACAGGTACGTATGACTTCACATTTCAAACCCAAGTTAGACCAAGATATTAGAACCCTCCCATGATTTCCAAATAGACCAGACTTGTACCCCTTTCCTTTCACATAACTGTCTCTAGTACCTGGAATGTGGCAACGCTGTGTTTTGTCCTCAATAGATGTCTTTGAGATTGGTCTAATGTTGACTGTTCTGTGAGATAATCTGTGAG